GCTCTGTCTGGGCCAGGTGAGGTCTGGTTGGGGCCCACACTCGCCTCATTGTTATGGGGCGAGTGACGGGGCAAACGGGGGTCACTGTGATCCCAGTACCTTTCCCTTGTCTCAGTGTCCCCCTCTGCTCACCCTCCTCCGCTCATCCCCACCATGTATCCCACAGTGGGAGTGAGACACAGGTTTAATTTTAAAATAGGGCATTAGATCACTCCTTCTAGTGCTTTTAAACCATGGGACACCGACAAAATCATGAATGCAGTCGGGGTGCACATTGCTCATAGCCTCTGTGTGAGGAAATGAGCAGGGCACACACAAACCAGCCCTGGGAGCCTGCTCTCTCTCCAAATGGTGCTCTCAGCTTGTCATGCCATGAACAACTAATATTAAATGCATCTTTCTGATCTCTACAGCCCACGTAGAGCTGGCACACGCAGCCGCAGCCCAGCTGCTTGTCTAGAAACATCTCTGACAACAGCTCTTTGCCTGCAGGTGATGGAGGGCGAGCCTTATTATCATTTCATACACCGCAGCACCAGGCAGAAAGCCTTAAGCAGACACTGGGGCTGGAACATGCGCCTGACAAAAGATCCAAAGGTAGGAAGGAGACGGCTGCAGGGACCGCATGCCACGCTAGGCAGGCTCTGCCTGACACCGCTGCTGCTTCCCGCCCAGGTCCTCTGGTTTGAGCAGCAAACCCTAAAGAGACGCACCAAGAGAAACGTCAGCGTGGTGCCAACAGATCCCTGGTTCCATGAGCAGTGGTATATGGTGAGATCCTGCTGCTCTCTCTCCTAATCCTCGAGCAAGTCACCTCTCTGACGCGTAAACAGGACTAATACCCACAGTGATGAGGCAGCAGGAGAGTCCTTGAAGGTCACCTGCTGCCTGCTGCCCAGGGGCTCATCAAATTTAATCTGTTTTCCAGAACAATGACATCAGTCCCGACCTAAACATCCTCACTGCGTGGAGCAAAGGCTACACCGGGCTGGGGGTTGTGATGACCGTCCTGGACGATGGGATTGAGAAGGATCACCCAGACCTGGCTGCCAACTATGTAACTACAAGGGGGCCATGCTGCAGGAACCAGCTCCTTCAGGGCACGCTGTCTTGGGAGGCAGTGGAAGCAGTGGGAACACAGTCTCTCCGTGGCTGGATCAAAAGATTTGGTGTCTCCTGCAGTAAATTCCCACATCAGGGAAATGTTAGGACTTGCACAGGCTCAAGCCCCCGAAATAGATGTAATTACAGCAAGCTGCAAAGCCAGTAAAGCTGGTAAGCCCTCACGTGCTCTGAGAGCCAAGGGAAGAGGTAAATCTTGGTTATTGTTTATAACACCATCGTTTCAGTGCTTTGTAGTTTCTCTGTCCTACCTGTGCTGCTGGTGAGGCTCACCTGCAGGTGACTGAACGTGAGCCTGGGTATGACAAAGCAGCACAGCAACATGCAAGATCATCCTCCTTTAGGGAAACCCCCTTTCCAACAGCTCCAGGTTAACCCCGGACAGTTGCAGGGTGCACAGGCCCCCACCCTGTTTTCTCTAGGCTGGGCAGGCAGCGAGCTTGAGGGCAAGGCAGGGCCCTTGGTGGTGAAGCACCAGGAGCCTGCATGGAGCTGTCACAACCCACGCCAGGCAGTTTGCTCACGTTTCTGCCTCTTTTTGCAATAGGACCCCCTGGCAAGTCACGACTTCAACAGCAATGACCCCGATCCCCAGCCCAGGTACAGCACTGGGGATGAGAACCGGTGAGTTTTGCTGGCTGTGTCTGGGCAGATCTCTTCTCCATGCTGGTGCTTTATTTCTCTGGGGCTCAGGCTGTCCCACCCCTCACACAGGACAGCTCAGAGGCTCTCTCTGCCCTCAGGCACGGGACACGCTGTGCAGGAAGTATGGCAGCTGTAGCCAACAACGGAATTTGCGGCGCAGGAGTTGCATACAACGCCAAAGTGGGAGGTGAGCCATTATTCTGACTGGAGTCACAAATCAGCTCTGGCACCGTGGGGGACACATGACCCCAGGCAGGGCTGCTCTGGGGACACACACACCCAGCCACAATGTAGGGCTTAGCACTCCCCAGGGTTTTAACACCCACTGCAACATGGGTCTGTGGCTGGCAGCACCAGCACCATGCAGGCTCAGACATCCCTGCAGAAGTGAGCACAGGAAATTGGGTTAAAAGCTGGGAGAAATTGCTGGGCTTAATTGCAAAGGGTTTAAACGAGGAGCTTTAGGAACCAGCTCATGGTGGCGACTGCACAGACCTGCAGAAGCTTGATCTCCTTAGGGCAGAGTCGCACGAAAGGTGCTGAAGGCAACCAGAGGTAAAGTGGGGGCTAGCAGGTTGCTGCTGGGCCCTTGTGTTCTCATGACTCCCATCCACGGAAGCCAGCATGGCCTCGCAAGCATTGCCACTCCTTATCCTGGCCCTGCAGGTGTGCGGATGCTGGACGGTCCCATCACGGACATGGTGGAGGCCCAGTCCCTCAGCCTGCGTCCCCAGCACATCCACATCTATAGCGCCAGCTGGGGCCCTGAGGATGACGGGAGGACCGTGGATGGGCCGGGCGTGCTGGCCACGGCAGCCCTCGAAGGAGGGGCCACCAAAGTAAGCCTGGTGCTGGCCCTGGGGACCTCCCTGGTGCAAGGGCTCTCCACTCACCCATGTCACTGCCAGGGACGAGGCGGCCTCGGCTCCATCTTCATCTGGGCCTCAGGCAACGGTGGCATGAATTACGACAACTGCAACTGCGACGGCTACGTCAACAGCATCTACACCCTGGCGGTGGGCAGCGTCCTGGCGGACGGGCAGCGGCCCTGGTACAGCGAGAGCTGTGCCGCCATCCTCACCACCACCTACAGCAGCAGGGCCATGGGCCAGACGCAGATCGTGAGTGCCATGACAGCTCTGCTGGAGCAGTGACCCCCAGGCAGACACCAGCACAAAGTGGGCTCATCCAAGCCCTCCTTACCTGGGGAGGAAGAGGGGGGGTGATTATTAAAGTGTCTGTATTAGACCCCAAAAACCATGAAGGGACCCAGAGGGAGCATTAACTGAACTCCAGCCAGTCCTGCCCTCTGCTTTGGCAGTGGCAAGGGTGCTGAGTCCTCCCTTGTCCCCCCCAGGTGACCACCGACCTGCACCACCGCTGCACCGACAAGCACATGGGCACCTCTGCCTCGGCCCCGCTGACTGCGGGAATGGTCGCTCTCGCACTGGAGGCCAAGTAGGTGACAGAGTGACAGTGGGACGGTCCCCAGGGAGAGCCTGGTGCCTCACCAGGACCCAAAAGGGATGGGGAAGGGGGACTTTGCCAGCGGGGAGGTTGGGGCATGCAGAGCTGAGGGCTCTGGGCAGGGGGGAGCAGCATCTTCTCCCAGGACACTGCAGGAGAGCGGCCAGAAGAGAGTTGTCCTCTGGAGGTCTCTGTTGCTCCCATTTCAACAGTGACAGCAGTTGCAAGGGGACCAGACATTTAACTTTTCCACAGTAGAAGTCAGAAGAGCCAAGTGTCACTCTCTAAAGCCAACCCAAAGCAGAGACCCCTGTCCCCAAACCCTCCTTGCTTGCAGCCCAGTGCTGACCTGGCGGGACCTGCAGCACCTGGTGGTCAGGACCTCCAAGCGCGCTCACCTGTGGGCCGACGACTGGGCCTTGAACAGCGTTGGACGCTGGGGTGAGCTCAGGGCCACCTGCCCTGGCTGTGAGGGCCACACTATCCCCCAGACCCTTACCAGAAGCTCCAGTGCCCTCCCAGTGCCAGGGGGCTCACACATCCTCTCTTGGTCTGCTTCCCAGTGAGCCACCACTATGGCTACGGGCTGCTGGATGCTGGGCTGCTGGTGGAGACAGCCAAGGCGTGGACGGGAACGCGGCCCCAGCGGAAGTGCTCGGTCAAGGCTCTTTACGCCCCTCGGTAAGGGACAGTGTCCCCTGGGTCTGACCCCACATGGGGTGATGCTGCCCAGAAAATGGTTGGTGCCGTGTGGCTTCTGCTGTAACCACAGGGCTGTGCTTAGGGGTTGTGTTGGGGGACAGGATGCCTTGGGAGGGGGAAGAGACGCCCCTACCTCTGTCTTGTAGGAACATCGGCTCCAAGCTCACCGTCTCCACCGCCGTCTCCTGCTCCAGCAGGACCAAGCGCATCCTCTCGCTGGAGCATGTCCAGGTCCAGCTTTCGCTGAGCTACAGCCGCAGAGGGGATCTGGTGATCGCCCTGACCAGCCCCATGGGCACCACCTCCACGCTGGTCAGCATGCGGTGAGGGCGCTGGGCAAGCTCATTGCAATGAGATTCACCAGCGGCAGGGGGGCTGGGGGACTCCTCATCTCATGGCTTCTCCTGGGACCAGGAGACTTCCTCACCCTGAAGCAGCTGCTTCTGCCCTGTACCCAAAACCCCTCTGTGGCCCCTACCAGTGCCTCTTGTGCCAGAAGGAGGTGACTTTGGGGTGTCCTTGGGCTGTATCTCCCCTCTAGCCCCACAACTGTCCTCTCCTCTCCCCAGCCCCTATGACACCAGCCAGCAGGGCTACAAGGACTGGACCTTCATGTCCACCCACTTCTGGGATGAGAACCCAAATGGGACCTGGACGCTGCAGCTGGAGAACAAGGGTGATGCCTACAACACAGGTGGGTGCCCCATCCCCATTTACCCCAGTCACCCCCTCTGTGTTTCTCCTTCCTTCCCCCACTTTAACATCAAACAAGGGTGGAAACGTGGCTGCCACCAGCACCCAGTCCTGTCCCTTCTGTCACCAGGGGTGCTCACCAACTTCACCCTGCACCTCTATGGCACAGATGAGTACATGATGGCCCGGCGCCCCGCAGTCTCTGCTACAGCCGAGTGCCTGAAGCGGGACACGCAGGGAGCGTGCGAGGGTGAGTCTGGGAAGGAGGGGATGGGGACAGTGCTTTTGGGTGACCCCTCATATTACCATTCCTCCGCAGAGTGCAGTGGATCCCTGTATGCCTTTGGGCGCTTCTGCCTGTCCTACTGCCCACCACGCTCCTACGGACAGACCCGTAGAGCCACCCCAGCCACTGCCACCCGCGTCTGTGCCAGCTGCCACCCCTCCTGCTACACGTGCCAAGGTGCTTCAGCCAACAACTGCACCGCCTGTGGCCCTGCCCACACCTTCGACAAGCTCACCCACTCCTGCTCCCCACTGCAGGGCTCATCCCTCACCGCAAGGCAGCACAAGAAGCTTAACCCCACCCTTCTCTGTGTGATCGTGGTCCTCTCAGTCTTTCTCTGTGTATTACGCCCTGTGTTCTTCCATGCCATCAAAAGATAGGGCCTGCTGTCACCAAGCTGGAAAGACAACGTGACACCAACTGCACAGACACAGGCGGCTGGACCCCAGCCTGGGACACAGCTGCCTCACCCAGCTTCCAAAATAAACTGTTTGTTGCCTTTCTGAACTGCCCTTTCTGAAGGGTGACATCCCTTCCCTGCTCTGTGCATGGGCAGGGACCGGGTGGTGGCTTCCCTCCCAGCCTGGGTCATCCCCCCCCACATGGAGAAGCCCATCCTGGTGCACTGCTGTGCAGGAGCTTTTCCCAAAAGGACCGGGAGCCCCATGCCCTTTCCCAGGCACTATGGGAGCAGGAGATGGGACTTTTCCAAGCAGCTGCCCCCAGCACCCCCTCAGCTGTGAGCCCACAGAGCTTTTGGGGGAAGGCAGCCAGACCCCAAACCTCTGCTCTAAGGGGGGACAGCCCAGACCCCCACTGCTGCTGTGCGATGCAGAGCACAGCGCAGTCCCCAGCTCTCATTTACCAGCAGCCTTTAGCCCCCCCAAAAAAAGGGCTCTTGGTGTTGCTGCACCCCAAAACCACCCTGCTCTCCCCCCAGCAGCAGGGATGAACGCCCTGGGCCCTCACTGTCCCATTGTGACTGGCAGTGGCACAGCACCAGGCAGGGCCGGGCCGGGTGGGGAGAGCCACCAAGCTGAGGCCCTCCCAGGGGCACCGGCACCCCGTGAGGCTCAGCAGGACCCCAGCTGCCCTGGGACACAGCCCTGACATGGTGGAGGGGGGCGGTTTGTCTCCCCCATGGCCAAGCATGGGGTGTTTGCACAGCTGAGGAGTTAAAGAGAGCGAGACCTTTGTCCAAACATGTAATCACCCATAAGAACCCTTGACCTTACAGAGCACAGACAGGAGTGGGGACAGAGGTTTCTATCAGAAGGCAGCCGAGAGCAAGGGGGTCTCCCCACTGGGACCCCCCAGCCTGAAGATTTTGGCCTTGCAGAGAGAGTGGAGACCAAGGGAGGGACCTCAGGGCAATGGCTGTGCCAAAAAAACCATTTGGGCCAGCACCACAGGATGAGTCGGAGCCCGGATGCACTGGAGCAA